GGGGAAGGGGAGGAAGAGGGAGGAGGAGGGGAAGGGGAAAGAGAGGAGGGGAAGGGAAAATGGAGGAGGGAAGGAGGAGAGAAGGAGGAGAAGGGGAAGGGGAGGAAGAGGGAGGAGGATGGGAAGGGGAAAGAAAGGAGGGGAAGGGGAAGGAGGAGGAGGAGGAGGGGACGGGAAAATGGAGGAGGGAAGGAGAAAAAGAAGAGAAGGAGGAGAAGAAGGGGAAGGGGAAGGAAGAGGGAGAAGTAGGAGGATGGGAACAGGAAGGGGAAAGAGAGGAGGGGAAGGAGGAGGAGGAGGAAGGGAAGGGAAAATGGAGGAGGGAAGGAGAAGGAGAAGAGAAGGAGGAGAAGAGGAAGAGGAAGAGGGGAAGAAGGGGAAGGGAAGGAAGAGGGAGAAGCAGGAGGAGAGGAAGGGGAAGGGGAAAGAGAGGAGGAGAAGAGTTTTAGAGAGTCGCTGAGGCCACTTGGAGATCCATTCCTACTCCCACACCATTCGAAGGGTGTTCACCCCAAAATGCATAGCTAAAAGTCTATGGAGATGCTCAGTCATCGAGGCCACAGTTGTCCCAAAGGTGCTTTTTAAAGTCTGGGACGAAACAGATAAAACCTCCAAGTGGCCTCAACGACTCTTTAAAAAGGATGCAAATGTCCAGCTGTCTGCAAGGAATATAAATCCTCCCGTTCCCCACCATCCGATCAGAGCCGAAGAAGCTTCTTGGATGAGAAGCGAAACGTCTTCAAAGCAAAACCAGAAAAAAAAACCAGTTGCCATGCCACCTTGCCAAATACACTGGATTAAAGTCGTTCTTGCCATTTTAAGGAGAGGAACAAAGGCGTTTCGAACCGAGGCGTTAAAAAACCAGGCAATTTTAGACTTGAGCCTGTCTGCCCGCGGTTTTTAACTTACGTACTTCGTAAATTAAGGGTTTTTCCTTCGAGCTTCTATTTACGTCGGCGCCCAGGAGCAGCAAACACTCGGCCATAGCGCTGTTGCATTCCTCACAGGCCTTCTCCAGCATCAGGTTTTTCAAGTCGTCGTGTTCAGTTATTTTCGCAAAGCATTTACAGCAAAGGCTTTGAAACTAGAAAGGGGACCGAAAGAGGATTGAAACTTGGGTGCAGGTGGGCCACTTTGATTAAAGAAAAGAACATAAGTACTTTTGTTTCCACATGGAGACCGCTTGTTGTGGCCCGCCAGCAGCCAGCGGAGCTGGCAGCAGATTCGGACAGTGAGGAGGTTGGGGAGGAACATGGGCCAGGTCTGGAGTCTGGGGAAGGCTCTGATTGTTGTGGCTCCGTTACCTGAGCCTGTGTCATCGGCAGGAGAGGACTCCGAGAGTGAAGGAGAGGAGTTAGCAAGGCCTCCCTCTCCAGGATCCTCCTCTCTGGCAATGCCTTTGGTGTCCACCGAAGGGCAAGAGATAGGCCCGGGGCCAAGCACGTCCACGCAGCCACAGGTGGACAGTGATGAGAGTAATGAGTCTTGGCTGGATCCTCGACAGCATCGCAGAGATAAGCGCGTGCAACAGAAGAAAAGGGGTGCCAGAGATTAGGCTGAGTCACTGGACCACACCCCACAGGGTATAAAAGGGAGCGTGGTGGCCAGTCAAGCCTTGTGGCGAAAAAAGCTGAAAGCTTCCACGCCATTCTGCATTGCCGGATTTTTGCTATAGACTTTGCTGGATTATATTTGGACTTAAGTTACTCTGTAATTATTGAACATTTTACTTTGATGTACCAGAAGCGGAGAGAAGTTATCTCTTCGTGAGTAATAAAACTCTTGGCAGGCAGCCACTAGGTTGCTGCCAAGTTCCGTTATCATAAGGAAAAGGATTTTGTCGGCTGGTTTGGTTTTTAACTCTTGGACGTCTGTTGGTGTGTGTGTGTGTGTCGGACGGGGACAGAACACTGACAGTGATCAGCTGCCTTCGGAGTCAGACATCAGTGAGGCAGACGAACAGCTGGAGCCTGTTCCCAGTATGCGCGTGCACAGAGTTGCCAAACGAAGGGAACAGCTAAAGAACAAGGGTCGACTTGGGAGTAAGGCCACAGGTGGACGATGAAGGGCCCCTCCCAGAGGGAATAAAAGAGGAGCGAAAGGGGAGTGGAGTTTGCAGGAGACGATTAGTTCGCTTAATTGGTTTGTGACTCTCCGAGACTCCTTGCCAAGTTTTGACGATATCGGCCTGGCACCTCTCCAAGCCAGATAAGGTCTGTGTCTGTAAATTCTCCCTTGAAAGATTTTGCTGAGTGTGAATGAGAGGAATTCACAGTAACTTAATAAAAAGGGATTTTTGTCGGGAGAAGGAGTCTGCTTCGTGGTTTGGGAACGCCTAGGTCAGAACACGGCTTCTGAACTTCGTGCTTGATGCGGAGAAGAACGAAACGTTGACTTTGGGATTTACCGATTGGATCGACAGATCTTTATACGGAGGGGTGCGGTGGCCTAGAGGTGGAGCTCTCGCCTCACAATCAGGAGTCTGTGAGTTCGATCCTAGGTAGAGGCAGATATTTCTCTCTCTCTCTCTGGGCACCATGAGAATATATCTGCTGAATATAACTCCGCATTGGCAACAGGAAGGCATCCGGCCATTAAAACACTCAGCTCCATGCATTTGCCCAGACTCCATCCCTCAAGGGATTATGGGGTTGTTAAACGATGATGATGATGATGATTGATAGATCGTTATAGAAATGGCTTGTTTATATTGTCAGGAAAAAGCAAAAAGTTGTGATTGGAGGTTAATGCCTTATTTTACTGTAACAGAGAGAGTCGGAAGTCAATGTTTCTTTCTCTTTTTTTTTTCCTTATCTTTCCTCACTTCTCCTTCCCCTTTCCTTCCCCACTGCTTTCCTATTTACTTTGTATTTTGTATTACTGTATAACTCAATAAAAATGTTAACATTAAAAAATAAAAGAAACTTGGGTGCCTGTTGAGGTTTAACTTATGTTAACGTATTTCATAAATTAAAGATTTTTCTTCCCAGAAGTGTTAAAAGAAATGAGTGGAAGGGCTGAGACACATTTAAAAGGAGTAAAGAAGGATCCGGGGAGGCCTCGACTTACGACCAAAATTGAGCCCAATATTTCTGCAGCTAAGCGAGACGGTTGTTGTGTGAATTTTGTCCCATTTTACGACCTTCCTTGCCACGGTTGTTAAGTGAATCACCCCAGTTGTTAAATTAGTAACATGGCTGTTAAGTGAATCTGGATTCCCCATTGACGGTGCTCGTCAGAAGGTCGCAAAAGCGGATCGGGTGGCCGCAGGACACTGCAGCCGTCATAAATATGAATCGGTAGCCAAGCATCCAAATTTTGATCACATGACCATGAGGGAAAATGCTGCAATGGTCATCAGGAGTCTGGATAGCTCAGCAGACTAAAGCACTGTAATTTAACACCAGCTATCTGCAATTAAAGTAAGTTCGAATCTCGCCAGGCTCAAGGTTGACTCAGCCTTCCATCCTTTCTAAGGTAGGTAAATTGAGAACCCAGTTTGTGGGGGCAATAAGCTGACTTGGTAAAAATATTCAAAAGTATGAAGGCTATTGCTTAACGCATTGTAAGCCGCCCTGAGTCTCCAGAGAAGGGCGGCATATAAATCAAATTAAAAAAAAAAATCAGGGTGGGAAAATATTCAGAAGTCGCTTTTTTTCAGTCACGGTCACTAAATGAACCATCGTAACCTGAATACGGCAAAATGATGAATTACCTGCTGATCTCTTTGTTCATTAAAACACACGGAGAGCTGGTAGAAGAGGCAGGTCTCGAACGATTCCTGTATGAGCAGCTTTGCAAACCAAGGGGATGAGTCGAGTATGGTTGTAATCATTTGAAATCCCTATAATGAAATTATAGAATGAATGAAAATGTATCATCGGCTGAAATACGTCCAGAATGGAGAGTTGGAGATTTAAACATTCCTTAGCTGGTTTCAATATGGGCACATTCTTTTTTTTTTTATTTACACTTTATTGATTTTTTTTAAGACAGATAAAATATAATAACAATTTTGTTTGACATCGGATTCGCAGTGTTTATACATATATACATGAAAAAATATCTCGTGTCATTTATACTATACATTTCTAATTAATTTCTGCACCTTTAACTCCTTCCTTAATTCTATCATTTATCCATTCGTACCATCTTCCCCACACAGTATCATAATCTGAAATTTCATCATCACTTATCTCATGCGTTAATTTACTTATCTCTGCACACTCTAATATTTTGCTAATTATAAGGTCGTCTGGTGGTAGGTCTTTCATTTTCCAGTATTGAGCGTATGCCAGTCTGGCAGCTGTAGTTATGGGTATTAGGAGGTGGACCTTTTCCTTTCCATGCCCTTTCTTTACCATTCCCAGGAGAAATATTTCTGGATTCAAATCAATTTCTTCTTTAAGTATGTCTTTCAACCATCTCCAAATTTTGCTCCAGTATCTTTTTACTTCAGGGCATGTCCACCACATATGAAAGAAGGTGCCCTGACCATGGCCGCATTTCCAACAATTTGGGTGCACATTGGAGAACATCTTTGCTAATCTTGCAGGTGCTAAATGCCACCTATGGAGCATTTTATAGTGGTTTTCCTTGTACGTGGCTGCTCTAGTTAGTTTATAATTTTTATTCCACGCCTCTTCCCATTCGTTAAAGTTCAAACTATGCCCAATGTTTCTCTCCCATGCTCTCAATTGGTCTCAATATGGGCACATTCTATCCGAGACTTAAATTGAGGATTACCTGTGCGTTTATTAGAATAGAAATAATAGAAATGGAAATACCTGCGTTTCCCCAAAAATAAGACCCTGTCTTATATTTTTCTGAACCCCGAAATAAGTGCTTGGCCTTATTTTCGGGGAGGTCTTATTATTTTGGGGCGCGTGGAGCAAGATGGGGCTCCTCTTGCCGTCTTACCTGATTTCCAGCTCTGTCTCCCTAACCCTAACCAGAGGAAATGGCGGGGACCCGCTGCTGATGCGGTTAAATATTTTTGGGGAGGGCTTATTTCTGGGGAGGGCTTATTTTCAGGGAGGGGCTTATTTTAGCGCATGCACTCAAATTGAGCTTATTATCAGGGGATGTCTTATTTTAGGGGAAATAGTAGAAACAGGAACAGGAACAGGAACAGAACAGAACAGAACAGAACAGAACAGAACAGAAAAAATGGAGTGGAATGGAGTGGAGTGGAGTGGAGTGGAGTGGAATGGAACGGAACAGAACGGAATAGAACAGAAAAAATGGAGCGGAGCGGAGTGGAGTGGAGTGGAGTGGAGTGGAATGGAATGGAATGGAATGGAATAGAATAGAATAGAATAGAATAGAATAGAATAGAATAGAATAGAATAGAATAGAATAGAATAGAATAGAAAAAATGGAGTGGAGTGGAGTGGAGTGGAGTGGAATAGAATAGAATAGAATAGAATTGAATAGAATAGAATAGAAAAAATGGAGTGGAGTGGAGTGGAATAGGATAGGATGGGATGGGATGGTATGGGACGGGACGGGACGGGACGGGACGGAACGGGACGGGACGGGACGGGACGGAACAGAACAGAACAGTTGAAAGGAACTTCAGTGTTGGAGCATTCACAACTTCTGGAGGCAAGTTGTTCCACTGGTTAATTGTTCTGTCAGGAAATTTTTCCTTAGTTCTAAGTTGCTTCTCCCCTTGATTAGTTTCCACCCATTGCTTCTTGTCCTGCCTTCAAAGGCTTTGGAGAATAGCTTGACTCCCTCTTCTTTGGGGCAGCCCCTGAGATATTGGAAGACTGCTATCATGTCTCCCCTGGTCCTTCTTTTCATTAAACTAGACACACCCAGTTCCTGCAACCGTTCTTCATATGTTTTAGCCTCCAGCCTCCAGTCCCCTAATCCTCTTTCTTGCTTTTGGTTCAACACAAAGGAGAAAAAAATATATCAAATATCTGAATTTAAGTTTCCCCCAAGAATCCTCCTGCCCAAGTAAGTGTTGCATTTGTGTATACCTGAGCCTGAATTTCGACAACATCCTTAAAGCGTCGTAACGTCGAAACCAAAGGGGATACCAAGGCATAGAAAGTGGCTGTACATAAGATCTTTTCTGATATCAAGGATCCCAGAAAGTTTAAACCTAAGCGTTGTATTTCTAGAAAGAAAAGAAAGTTGGGAATATTACAATGGAAATATTTATCAAGCACACAATTGCAACAGCGGTACAGGTAGTCCTCGACTTACGACCACAATAGAGCCCAAAATTTCTGTTGTTAAGCGAGGCATTTGTTAAGTGAGTTTTGCCCCATTTTACGACCTCGGTGGCCATAATTGTTAAGTGAATCCCTGCAGTTGATAAGTTAGCAACCCGGTTGTTAAGTGAATCTGGCTACCCCGTTGACTTGGCTTATCAGAAGGTCACAAAACGGGATGTCCCGTGACCTTGGGGATACAACGACGGTCGTAAGTATGAACCGCTTGCCAAGCATCTCAATTTTGCTCACGTGGTCATGGGGCTGCAACAAAGGTCGCAAGTGTGAAAAATGGTCATAAGTCACTTTGAACAGTCACTAAATGAACTGTTGTAAGTCGAGGACGACCTGTAGCAATAGCACTTAAGGGTTATATACCGCTTCACAGTGCGTTACAGCCTCTCTCTAAGCCGTTTACAGAGTCAGCCTATTGCCCCCAGCCAGATTCACTTAACAACTGGGTTACAAATTCAAGAACTACTTTGTTGTAGCCTATCGGCCGCCGGCCCCCCCAGCAGCCGAATCAGAGGAGGAGGAGGCATGGGAGTCAGGGACAATAGCAATGCAATTTGAGAGCTCCGAGGGGGAAGAGGGAATGGAGCTGGCAGAGAGAGAGAGAGGTGGAGCTTGGGCTGTCCATCAGTCCTCAGGTGGAGAGTCAACAGCCCCCAGGTCTGGAGGTGGCTGATGAGGAAGAGGAGGAACAGCTGGGTCCAGTGCCTGTGGATGCGCAGAAGGCAGAGGAGAGGAGAGCAGTGGAAGTCTATGGGCCGGTCCTTGGGACAGAAAAGTCACCACTGCTAGCGAAGCCCCATCCTACTCTGAGGATAAAGGGCAGGGAGCGGAGATGAATAGTGTTGTGATCCAGGCCCATGTAGTTTATATTAAATGCAAAACAGTTCCCAAAAAACAAATAGATTTTATTAAAGCAGCTGAGAATTAACTCATTCTCAGCATATTCTAAATTAAATGAAAGCAAAGTCCTCAAAACACCAGTATTTAGTTTATCTCTGACCTTGGGATAATTAGGCAAACTGCCAAAGGCTTCTCTTGGCAACAGTTCAGGAACAGAAGAAATAACTAGAGCCAAACAAGAAGCAATTCTCTCAACGGTTGTTTTCCGGCAAAGAGGCCAAGAGCCTCTTTTAAGCCTTATGGGAGGGGCCAATCATCTCTTGGCCTTACTCCCGAGTCGTCCTCTCTGCTTTATCTGCTCCTGCCTTCTGGCAGCTCTTCTCATACGTGCACTAGGAACAGGCTCCTCCTGTTCCTCTGCCTCTCTACTGTCAGCTTCTGGAGGCTCCGAAGTCCACACATCACTCCCCGATGGCCCTGGCCCCATCTCTGCCTCCGGCGCAGAGCCCTCATCTGGGCCTTCCCCAGCCTCCAGGACTGGCCCATGTTCTTCCTCAGCCTCCTCACTGTCCGACTCCGCTGCCAGCTCCACAGGCTGCTGGCGGACCACAACAAATAGATGTGGCAGACAACTATTCGTCTCCCTGCCGGACAGACTTGTTAGCCTGCGTTGAGAGAGAAACCTTTTGCCGGGGCTGCTGGCGCTCCTAATAAAGGAATCATTGATTTAACCCTATTATTCTATGTTCTAATTTGGCTGGGAGTAACGAACAACGGGTCATGCATACAAATCTGAAAATACAGGTGACTAAACATTGCATGCAAACTTTCTAGATCAACCTTCTAAAATACAGCTACCCATCCTAGGCGTCTCAAAGCAATGACAGAAAATGTTGGGAATTGGCTCATACATCTGCACATTTCTCCAGGTTGACAAAACCTTTTGATTTGATGACCGGACATTCTCAGATTCAAAATAAATGGTTTACACTGCTTGCCTTGATCATCTGGATACATCTGTAGTGTGTGGAGCAGAGTATCTGCCATTCCGAGATTGGATAACATTTGTAATAAAGTTGGACGTTCTTTTATAGTGGAAAGTATTTGAAGTCCACACCTCTGAATGCCTGGATTTCCAATAAACTAGAAGTAAAAAAAAAAAAAAAAAAACCCAAAAATCAAATGGTTATATTTATTTACATAAATCTTCCAATTTATCGAGCCTTGATGCAAATGCAGGCAATCCTTGACTTACGACAATTCATTTAGTGACCGTTCAAAGTTGCAACGGCACTGAAAAAAGTAACCCGTGACTGTTTTTCCACACTTATAAGTGAACAAAACTCTGTACTGGCAACAGGAAAGGCATCCGGCCAGTAAACACTCAGCTCCATTCAGTTGCCCAGATCCGCAAGGGGATTATGGGGTCGTTAAAAGAAGATAAATTTGCATCCTTTCAAACTTGTTAGGTGGGCAGGAGCTGAGCCAAGGAACAGGAGGTTCGAGACCCCGCACAGAGCTCGGGTCTCGAACCTGGGCTGCCAGCTTTCCACCTAAAAAGGAGATGATTTCATAGACTGATTACTTCAATGAAGACAATGCAACTCAGATCTTATTTAGCTGTTATAACCAGCTTGTAGTATTGAAAAGAGTTACCTATTAAATACATGGTGATTACAATAAGGCAGACTTAACTGTTAGGTCTGGATATGAAAAGAGAGGCAGGGCGATCGTAGTGAAGTAAAACAACCGTTTATTGCAGGCAACAGGGGACAACAACAAACTAACTACGAACTGAGAACTGCCCGAGGCTGCAGCTCCTTTTACAAGGAGCTGTCCAGCCTGGCAGCCACTGATGCTTTTTCATTTTCCCGCTAGCGGGAAAATGAACCAACGAGCAAAGGCTGATGTAAGACTCACTCCTACTTGCATATTCAACAGTAACAAAAATTAACCGTACCGTGTTCAGAGCACCAATGACAAGCGAATGACCTCCTTCTAACAAAAACTGACTTTTCATAAGTGTTAACATGGCTTCCTGGTTAGTCTCTTCTGAACTATCGTGGTGCTGATTTTGTAGCACTCCTGCAACACAGGGAAACAATTGGTAAAAGCGGTTTACTGTAACTGAAATGCATAAAAGATACGCGCATACCCACACTCACACACAAAGAAAAAGACTCAGCGTTTCATAGTTCAAAATCTTATGCAATATGAACAGAGGTGGTATGCAGCCGGTTCGGACCGGTTCTACCGAACCGGTAGTAATGATTCTGTGCAGTTCTGAGAACCCGCAAATCGCACCACTGGCTGGCCCCACCCACCTCGCCCCACCCCGCCCTCTATATCTTGCCTTTGCCACATGGCCCAGCTAATCTCTGTGTTTTGCCTCAGCGTCTCACCCCCTCTGCTCACCAAAGGTAAGGGCCCGGGGACGTGCCATTCCCCTGCTCCGGCCTTGCCCCAGGCCTCCGCCCACATGCCGCCGTCCCCCTCTGGCCTCAAACTACGACACCGCTGGGCCGAAGGGCCGTGGGGGGTGGCAGCATGGGTGCAGGAGGGCCGAAGCGGTTTGGGAATGGACCGGAAGGTTCTTTCAACATAGCTGCTGCTTCTCTGTGCCACAGCGCTGTCCGGATGGGACTTAGAGGAAAGGGGCGGCTCACAGCCGCTAAATTGCACAAGACGCTCTCCCAGCAGTGCGGAGAGAAGCAGCCCCTGCCCCGGACAGCAGAGATGGAGGGGAGCAGGCCCCAAAAGGCTGCTCAGTTGAGCCTCGCTGCATGGCAGAAACGTGCACACGTGCATGCGTGGAAGCCGTGCACACACGCATGTGCAGAAGCCGTGCACGCACACATGCCCGGAAGTCGCACACACTCACATTGTTGACGAACCGGTGGTGAAATTATTTAAAACCCACCACTGAATATGAACACAATGAACTCTTTGGAGCGAATTCTTAATTATTTAATGCTCTTAAAACAGATTTCTAACCAAGGTTTTGTGTTGGAGGCATCTCAAAGGATTTTGTGCTTATAAATAGTTTTATGAAATAAGTATAGAAAAAAAAAACACACAAAACAAAATTGAAGCACTACATTTCAATCGTAAAGTTTTAAAAGAAAACTATCCAGTGATTCAGGAAGCAGAAGAATTAGGGTAAAAGTACGGACTAAAACAGAAAGAAGGAATAAATACATTTATTTTAAGATGCTACATAAACAAGGCTCTTTATTCGTGGTACCTAGTTTGGATTAGTTTACGCTACTACAGGTATGTTCTGTAAGGCGTCTTACCTGGAACCAGGCAACGTAAAATGACTTTAAGTGCTTCTAACTGCACCGACGGCAAACTTTTGTGCTTCCTCATAGTCTTTATACATCCAGATGCAGCAGCAATCATGATATCCAACTGTAAGAACCTGGAAAATAAACGATGGAAAGGCTAAAATATCAACTACTTGGTAACCTATTTGTTTATAACCCTCTTTTCCCAAAAATAAGACCCAACCGGAAAATAAGTCCTAGCATGGTTTTTCAGGATGCTCGTAATATAAGCCCTATCTCCAAAATAAACCCCAGTTAAGATTGTCAGCCAGATGGATGCATTTAGTACCGTATTTTCCCCCAAATATAAGACCTAACCAGAAAATAAGCCCTAATGCTTCTTTTGGAGCAAAAATTAATATAAGACCCGGTTTTACTTTTGGGGAAACCCGGTAGAATCATAGGCCGGAAGAGACCTTGTTGAGGAATTTGCAGAACAACCTTTGAGTAGCAAGGGTATGCACATGAAAAGCGATTGAGAGTATTTAGGAAATAACACAGCCAACGCACAGATACACTGAGTTGTGTTTACTTTCAAGAAATAGTAATAAGGCACAGTCCAAGAAACAGTCCAGGTCGTTCACATATAAAGCAGTAGATATCAAACAATAGTCCAGGGATAATCCAATAACAAAGTCTTCTTACCAGTCGTTGTAGTCATACACGATAAACAGTTGCCAACAGTAGCAAACACAGCAAAGAGCATCAAAGATAAACAAACCGTGTTTCTAGCTCCCTTTTCAGGACATTGGCTACAGAACTAACCAATCAGGACACAGTTTGATGCAATACAGCAGTCTTAAAGCTATATTGATGGTTTATATATTGCCAACCCAACTTTAGGTAAAACCATTTCCTAACAGAGATCTTCTACTCTAACCCCCACTTCTCAGGGCAGGAGACCTTATTCCAACCTGGTCAAACGGTTGTCCACTCTGTTTTTGAAAACTTCTAGCGATGGAGTACCCATAGCATCTGGAGGCACACTGATTGATTGGGCCCCGGTGTTGATTAATTGTTCTGACTGTCAGAAAATTTCCCCTTATTTCTTAGGCTGGATCTCTCTTTGACAAGCTTCCATTCGTTACTTCTTGTCCCTCTCTTCTCTGTGACAGCTCTTTAGGTATTGGAAGACAGTTATCGTATCACTCCAAATTCTCCTCTTTGTTAGACTAGACCCGTGATGGCGAACCTATGGCACGCGTGCCACAGGTGGCACGCGGAGCCATATTAGTGGGCACGCCAGCTCAGCTCTGGGGCGCATGCGCGCGCCGGCCAGCTGATTTTCGGGCCTTCTGGGCCCACCAGAAGTAGGGAAACAGGCTGTTTCCTGCCCCTAGACTCCTAGAGAGGCTCCTAGAGACTCCTAGAGAGGCTCCTAGAGACTCCTAGAGAGGTTCTGGAGGCTGGGGACAGCAAAAAATGTCACTTCCTGTCCCACCGGGAGTTGGGAAATGGGCTTTTTCAGCCTCCGTAGGGCCTCCAAGCGAGTGGGAAAGGCTGTTTTCGCCGTTCCCAGATACACAGAGAGGATCTGGAACCAGGTAAGAAAGAAAAACGGGCCTACTAGGCCATCATGTGCCAGGAGTGGGGGGGAGGGGGAGGGGGTTGCGCACACATGCACGTGGGCACGCGACCCTCCCCCGCCCCCCTCTCCTGGCACGCGATGGCAAAAAGGTTAACCATCACTGGACTAGACATACCTAGCTCCCTCAACCGTTCGTCCTACGATTTAGCCTCCATCCCTCTTAGCGTCTTTGTTGTGCTTCTCTGCACAACTTTCTGGGACCTCAGCATCTAGAACAAGGGTGCCAAACTCAAGGCACACAGACAATCCCTGAAGAAACACAAAGCCGGGGAAGAATCAACCCAGGAGATTGTTGATTTGGGATTGAGTTATTCAGAGTTTAGAGTTTCGTTACCTTCCTTCGAAAGCATGGTTCAGCAATCGGCAAGCGCTTTCTGCAATTTCGGGAGAATCTGACCGTTTCCGCATGATCTCCAGCACGTTCATATGTATGCCTTTGGCCAAGAGAATTTGTCTGGCATTTGCTACAGTAACAAAAAAAAAATAAAGAAAGAAATTATATAAGCTAAATGCAGGCAGCTAACTTTTAGGAAGTCCCAAAGGTGCTTTTTTTCAAGAGGCAACTGGACTTTCTCATTTTTAATAATAATAATAATAATAATAATAATAATAATAATAATAATAATAATAATAATAATAATAATAATAATAATAATAATAAACCTGGTGATGCACGAATTGAAGATAAGCAGCAAGAAAAAATCACAAAGTACCGGGACTTACAAATTGAAGTTGAGCGACTGTGGAAAAAGAAATCCTGTGTTGTCCCGATTGTAATTGGAGCCCTCGGAGCAATACCCAAAGGGCTACCCCGCTATTTAGAAATTCTAAATTTGCCGGACTTGAACATTTTGACTCTCCAAAAAACCACCTTACTCGGAACAGCTTACATCCTCCGACGATATCTTAACAGTTCCTAGGTCCTTGGTTAGGACTCGAGCTGCTGAGCTATTAACCAGCCTCAAAGGCTGTGAATCTCACTAAAGATTAACCAATAAATAATAATAATAATAATAATAATAATAATAATAATAATAATAATAATAGTAATAAGACGGCTTTCTCTGAAGACGTCTCACTTCTCATCCCAGAAGCTTCTTCAGCTTGGACTGGATGGTGGGGAATGGAAGGATTTCTACTCCTTGCAGACAGCTGGTCATTTGCATCCTTTCAGAGGGTTGTTGAGGTCACTTGGAGGTTTATCTGTGTTCTCAGGATCACCTGAGTTAGTGCTCCTGGTTCCCGTAGTCTGCAATTTTTTTCTCTGGAAATCCATTCCTACTCCCACACCATTCAAAAAGTGTTCATCCCAAATTGAATAGCTAAAAGTTTGTAGAGATTATTGTGGCCCACTGGCGGCCAGCAGAGCTGGCAGCAGACTCAGACAATGAGGAGGTTGAGGAGGAACGTGGGCCAGTCCTGAGGGCTGGGGAAAGCTCGGACGAGGGCTCTGCATCGGAGGCAGAGAGGGAGATAGACAGCAGTGAGGCAGAGGAACAGCTGGAGCCTGTTCCCAGTGTGTACATGCACAGAGCTGCCAGAAGACAAGAACAACTCAGAAAGCAGGGTCGACTCGGGAGTAAAGCCATACCTTGGAGGTGATTGGCCCCTCCCATAGGAAACAAAAGAGGAGCAAACAGGGAGGGGGCTTTTGCAGGAAACAATTTGTTCATTCGGTCGTTTCAAGAGTGGAAAGTTCTGTTCATGACTCTAAGAGACTTTGTGCCAAGTTTTGCCTTCCTCTGCCTTTGGAAACAAGTTACATGGCAGCTTGCCAAGCAAGATAAGGTTTGTGTTGATAAATATTCCTCTGAAAGACTGTTTGGACAAGCCTTGCTGACTGTGAATGAAAGGAATTCACAGTCGTGTAAATAAGAGGTTTTGTCGGGACCAAAATTCTGCTTCCTAGTTTTTAAGGGAGCCTAGGTCAGAACAGAGATTCTCAGTCATCCAGGACACAGTTGTCCCAAAGGCTGGAGGCAACTGGACTTTCTTGTTTTTTCTTTTGAAGACGTTTTGCTTCTCATCCAAGAAGCTTCTTCAGCTCGGACTGGATGGTGGGGGAATGGAAGGATTTATATTTCTTGCAGACAGCTGGTCATTGAGGCGACCCTGAGGAACAGGCAAACCTCCAAGTGGCCTCAACGTATTACGGATTGGTTTTGCAATGCCATCCTTCCCCACTGAGGCATTATTCAATTTATATTTACCATTTTGCTTCACGAGAGTAGCTAAGGCATTGGCCGCAGCCTGGAACACTTCTTTGGAAGAGGAATAATACATCAACATGGCTAACATCATCTCTCTGTGCGCTGGGTACCTAAGACGAAGAGAACAATCGAGTTATTTCCCTGGAAACTCCCTATGATTCTGTTATTTGAGGAGGAATGAAACCAAATATAAAAATAACTTTAAGAGCTAGGTTACTACAGGTAGTCCTCGAATTGCAATACCTTGCTCAGTGACCGTTCAAAATTACAACGGCACTGAAAAGTGGGACTTAGGACCATGTTTTACAGTTATGACCTTTTGCAGCATCCGCATGATCACATGATAAAAATTCAGATGCTTGGCCACTGGTTCATACTTATGACCGTCACTGTTTCCCAAGGTCATGTGATCATCTCTTGCAACCTACTGACCAACAAAGCCAATGGAGGAAAACCAGATTCACGGGCCGGAAAATGGCCTGGTTTTTGGCCATTTTTCAGGCTGTTTTCAGGCCGTTTTTCGGGCTGTTTGGGGGGCATTTTCAGGCCAAAAACAGCCCCAAAAAACAGGCTAAAAACAGGCCAGTTGGTCTTTCTGGGCACTGGAGTGCTGGAAAATGGCCTGGAAATGGCCTAAAAAACAGCCCAAAACAGCCAAAAAACAGGCCTTTTTTGGGCCTTTTTCAAGCAGTTTTCACACTGTTTTTTGGGTTGTTTTCAGGCCATTTTTCGGGCTGGTTTTTGGGCCATTTTCAGGTCTTTTTTTGGGGCATTTTTTTTGCCATTTTCAGCCCAGTTTTGGGGGCAATTTGTAGCCCGAAAACAGCCCAAAAAACAGCCTGAAAAAATGGCCTGAAAAATGGGCAAAAAACAGGGCATTTTCCAGGCCATTTTGGGGGGTATTTTCAAGCCGCTTTTCAGTCGATTTCGGGCCAAAAAGGAGCCAAAAAAACCCAGCTTGAATATGGTGTGAAGAGCAACCTGAAAATGGCCCCAAAACAGCCCCAAAACAGGCTGTTTTGGGGCCTTTTCCCGGGCTGTTTCAGGGCATTTTTTGGCCATTTTCAGGCTGTTTTGGGGGCATTTTCACACTAAAAATGGCCCCAAAAATGGCCTGAAAAGGCTGAAAAACTAGCCTGAAAAAGGCCCAAAAGACAGCCTAAAAATGGCCCCAAAAATGGCCCCCCAAATGGCCATAAAACAGGCATGCGAGTGCCTGTCAGCTGATCTTTGGGTCTCCAGCGCTCCGGCGTGTGTACACGCACGCCCATGCATGCGCGTTCCGGTGTGGGCACTCAGCACCAAAGAGGTTCGCCATCACTGCCCTATACCATTTCAGGCAAATGCTTGTCCAATCTCTTCTTAAAAACTTCCAGTGCCGGAGCCTTTACAACTTCTGGAGGCAAATTGTTCCACTGATTATCAGGAAATTTCTCCTTAATTTCAGATTGCTTTTCTCCTTCTGTTGCTTCTTGTCCTGCCTTCAGGTGCTTTGGAAAAGGTCTGGGTCCGCCCTGGGTCTTCGGAGAGGGGCGGCATATAAATTGAATTAATTAATTAATTAATTAATTAATTGACCCTCTCTTCTTTGTGACAGCCCCTCAAATATTGCTTTCTTTGTTGTGTTTTTTTGCTGACGTTTTTGATGCTGGGTGTTCCATTTTAAATTTTGAGTTTTATAGAAGCTAGAAATTTATTTATATATATATTTAAATTTATATACCGCCCTTCTCCCGAAGGACTCAGGGCGGCGAACAGCCAAAGGTAAAAAACATAGAATACAGAAATTTAAAAGCAGTTTAAAATATATTAAACAATTTGGCCCAACAATTAAAATACCCCATTTAAAATTCAAATTAAAATTAAACAATTGGAGAAGTTAGGCCAGCCCGGCTTGTTGAAATAAAAAAGTCTTGAGGGCCCGGCGGAGGGTATGTAAATCCAGAATTGTCCGTATCTCCGGGGAGAACTCGTTCCAGAGGGCAGGTGCTCCCACAGAGAAAGCTCTCCCCCTGGGGGCCGCCAGTCGACATTGTTTGACCGACGGCACCCCGAGGAGCCCCTCTCTGTGGGAGCGTACTGGCTGGTGGGAGGCTCTCGGTGGCAGAAGGTGGTCTCGTAAATACCCGGGCCCTAAGCCATGGAGTGCTTTAAAGATGAGAACCAATACCTTGAAGCGCACCCGGAAGACCACCGGGAGCCAGTGCAGCTCGCGCAGGAGAGGTGTTACATGGGAGCGCCATGACGCTCCCATAACCACCCGCGCGGCCGCATTCTGGACCAGTTGGAGCCTCCGGGTGCTCTTCAAGGGGAGCCCCATGTAGAGAGCATTACAGTAGTCTGGGCGGGAAATGTGAAACTCTCCACTTCTACATGCGAAAAAGAAACTTAAAACAACAAGTATTTACAGCTGACAAAAGATTTTGATATTGCAAAAGTATACACTCAAGCCACTAACTTTTTTTCTTCATCCCCAATCTTCTCATTAAGGGTAGGTTGATACATAAGCAGATTGTTCAAAGCCCAGCAAGCAGCTTCCTAAATAAAGAGAATTAAAAAGTAATTATTTGGCCAGCACTTCTAATTTCAGAGCACATTAATCACAAGCACCAGCGTGACTCGTGAGAAATCAAAAAGCTTCAAAACCCATACAAAGTTTTATTTTTAAAAATAAAAATAAATAAATCCAATAATACTATTTTAATGTTAATCATGCCCAGAAAAGAAAACATGATGGGCTCTCAGAAATACAGGTAGTCCTCAACTTCCAGCAGTTCATTTAGTGACCACTCACAGTTACAACGGCACTGAAATAAATGACTTACGACCGTTTTTTCACACTTACGGCCGCTGCAGCAACCCCACCGACACGTGATCAAAACTGCCTGGCAACCGACTCATATTTATGTCAGCTGCAGCATCCCGGGGTCACATGATCCCCTTCTGACAAGCAAAGCTGATGGGGAAGTCAGATTCACTTAACAACTATCATCATCATCTTTTTTAATGACCCCGTAATCCCTTCCGGGTGGAGTCTGGACAACTAAATGGAGCTGAGTGTTTACTGGCCGGATGCCTTTCCTGTCGCCATTGCAGAGTTTTGTTCAGCAGATATATTCTCATTGTGCCCAGAGGGAGAGAAATATCTGCCTCTACCTAGGAGCGAACATCCCCATGATCACGTGATCAAAATTCAGAAGGCTTGGCAACTGGTTCACACTTATGACCGTTGCTGTATCCCAAGGTCATGTGGTCCCATTTTGTGACCTTCTGGCCAGCAAAGTCGATGGGGAAACCAGATTCATTTAACGATCGCGTGACTAACTTACCCACTGCAGTGATTCACTTAACAACGGTGGCAAGAAAGGTCATAAAATGAGGCAAAAGTCACTGCACGAAAGTCTCGCTAAGCAATTGACACTTTGAGCTCAACTGTGGTCGTAAGTCAAGGACTTTAATTTTAAATTTTTGCTGCAACAAGAATCCAAGCTATTCCTGCACAGAAATAACTGATGTCTATTTCCAGTTAAAATGGGTATTTTGGAGGAAGTTTGTATTTTAAGAATGACATAAAATAAAATTAGCATGGACAGCTTCTTCCCCTAGACAGAATTTAAGTCATATTTAAGTCCCATGCTTTTAGCATTTGTACCTGCACATCACTATTTCTTCTGTGATATTTTAACGCTTTATAGCAGGCCTCCAGCCAATATAATTTATTTTCTTCCTCCTCCTCCTCCTCCTCCTCTTCTTCTTCCTTTTTTTCTTCCAAATCTCTGTTTAAAAAGATGGTTTCCGCTTGGGAGAAAAACGATCGTTTATTGAACTTCGAAAACACAATCATCTCGTTTATTTTCGCAGCACGACGAGACGAGCAAAGTAAACACGCAACCAACTTCCCTCACAAACGACTCAATTTGTTTTCAAACCAAAATACTCGTCGCCAGCAAAAAAAAAACAACATAAATACACAAAAAGACCCCCAAAAAAGCATTTTAACAGTTTGACTGGTTACTCTTAAAATTCTAAATTAATTTTTCTGAAAGTAGAAATTCCCTCAGGGTAATAGGACGTTGCATAATTAAACTGCAGCACTAAATTACTGTTGGATGCCTTGGTTACCACGCTATTAATTTAAGCTCTGGCATTCCACACGTCAATTTTGTTTTACGTTCAATCAGAATGAAAAACAAACTCAGAACCATCCAGGCTACCAACTAAGAGAGGTTCCACTTCAATATGAGGATCATTTTTCACGTCCTTAAACAAATACAGGTAGTCCTCAATTTACAACGGTTCATTTGACGTACAATGGCATTGAAAAAAAGTGATTTTTCACACACACACCCTTTCTCGACCTTCTGACAAGCAAAATCAACGGGGAAGCTCGATTCGCTTAACGACTGTGCTCCTAACTTATCAGCTGCAGGGATGCACTTAACAACGGTGGCAAGGAAGGTCTTACAATGGGGCAAAACTCACTTAACAAAAGATCTCCCTCAACCACAGAAATGTTGGGCTCAATTGTGGTCGTAGGTCGAAGACTACCTGTACGTAATGGTGATTTTTTTTTTTTAATGAGTGGCAATATAAACTCTCAACTCTCAATAGTAGTAACTGTGAGAGGGACCTTGGAGTATGAGCCAGGCGTGTGCTGCAGCTGCCAAAAAAGCCAACACAGTTCCAGGCTGCATAAACAGAGGGAAAGAATCAAGATCAGGTGAAGTGTTAATACCACTTTATAATGCCTTGGTAAAACCACTTGGAGTAATGCATCCAGTTTTGGTTGCCACGGTGTAAAAAAGATGTTGGGACTCTAGAAAGAGTGCAGAGAAGAGCAACAAAGAGGATTAGGGGACTGGAGGCTAAAACATATGAAGGACGGTTGCAGGAACTGGGTATGTCTAGTTTAATGAAAAGAAGGACTTAGGGGAGACACGATAGCAGTCTTCCAATATCTCAGGGGCTGCCACAAAGAAGAGGGAGTCAAGCTATTCTCCAAAGCCCCTGAGGGCAGGACAAGAAGCAACGGGTGGAAACTAATCAAGGAGAAAAGCAACTTAGAACTAAGGAGAAATTTTCAGACAGTGAGGACAATTAACCAGTGGGACAACTTACCTCCAGAAGTTGTAAATGCTCCAACACTGGAAGTTTTAAAGAAGATATTGGATAACCATTTGTCTAAAGTGATGTAGGGTTTACTGCCTAAGCAGGGGATTGGACTAGAAGACCTCCAAGATCCCTTCCAACTCTGTTATTCTATTTCTATCTCATAAGTCAACTGGACGTGTTGGAAATATAATTTTAAGATTTCCTTGCTTAATGGGATCTGAAAAAGTTACAAGTCAATATTTGGTGGGTTGCAGAAAGAGGAAGTTTAAATGTTTCCCTTTTAGCAGAAGGTGTCTAGATTTATTTGCGCATATATATATAATATATATATATATATATATATATATATATATAAAAAAGAGGCGATAGACATCACGATCTCCGGAACGTTTAAAAGTTTAAAATTTTTTATTTTAAAACTTGTGCTAAGCTTTCGTCGGCCACTACCGACTTCGTCAGAGTGTAAAATCCCCATTGAGGAGCTGCTTGCTTTTATGTAATGCTGATCAATTTAGTCATTGCGTGCGTAACAGGCCCACACCCTTGCGTTCCCCCTGTAATTAACTTTTTTTCTGCCTTAGTCATGCTAACAGATGACGATGCACTTCCCCCTGCCTCCTTCCGCATTGTGTGTTGCCTCTTTCTCTCCCTGGGGGGTAACGCAGGGTTATCAGGCATTGCTTTGATGGTATTTCTTCAAAGCAATTTTATTTTAAAATAAAAAATTTTAAACTTTTAAACGTTCCGGAGATCGTGATGTCTATCGCCTCTTCTCTAACTATACCTGGAACTCGCATTTTTAGGACAATTCTTAATACACACACACACACACACACACACACACACACACACACACACACGTATGTGTGTATATTTAATATTTCGGGTTTCTTCCCGTGTAATTGTGGATATATCCCTAAAAGGGTAGAAGCGACGTTTCGACAGAATCCCATCTGCCATCATCAGGCTTATGTCAGCAGTCTTTTGTAGTAACATATATGTAGTTCATATATATATGAACGCGAAATTCATCTGGGAAATTTAATTTTCTTTCATTTCGTTACTTACTGAGGAGAGCCAAGCAGCTAAGGCCTGCTGCTTGTAGTTTCTCATTTTCAGGGTACGTTTCTACCGCCTTCACGATCACTTCGTGTACAGAATTCAACACGAGGATATTGAAGAAGTTTTCTGTGGGAGATTAAAAAAAAAAAATTAAACTGGAGCCTACGTGTAAACCAGAAAGTTATCTGACAGTTGGCAAAGACTCATGACAAAGATTTTTTTCTTTTCCCCACCAGCTGAAAACTATTCTCAAATCGTGTTTGGGTGAGGAAGGAGATGGCATGATTTGCAATAATTAAGGATGGCACCCAAGGGGAAGGGAAAAAGAAAGAAACTTGGAGAAAGCACCAAGCAAGAGGACTTCCCGTCGTGTGGTACTTTTTTAGTAATGTTCAGTCCTTACAGGAAGTAGTCCATTTTTTACAAATCCAAACCAACTTGAATCGGATCTCTTCAAAACCCTCAAAATTTGTTTTTAGGAATGCTGTAGCGCAGCCTAGATCGGGAGTGTCAAACTCATGGCTCGCGGGCTGGATCCGGCCCATGGGATGCTTAAATCTGGCCCGTGGGGCCGCCCTGGAAACAGCAAAGGACCGGTCAGCGGCGCCTCTGCCAGTGAAAATGGAGCTCAGGAGGGCCGCACACAGCCCTCCCGGGCCCCATTTTCAGCCATGACGGCCTCCTGCAGCCCTCTGCCAGTGAAAATGGAGATTCCCCGGGGCCGTTTTCGGCAGTGACGGCCTCCTGCAGCCCTCTGCCAGCGAAACCGCGCGCCAACCCGACCTCCATTTTCGCTGGCAGAGGGTTGCACAAGGCCATCGCGGCTGGCCATGCCCCCCCAGCTCCCCCGAGGTCAAATACAACCCTGATGCAGCCCTCAATAAAATCGAGTGACACCCCTGGTCTAGATGCTAACTCTGAGGTGCTGGATGACTGACTATGGACAGAGATTGTTTGCCGCACGCTAAAACCTAGCACCATTTTTGCAAAAACAAGGAGGTTTTTTTTTAAAAAAAGAGTTTTGCAGTAGATAAAATTTCATGCCCCATTCCCCTCCGTGTTTTTTTTTCATAGAAATAAGGACATTGGAGTCAAAGTCTGTATACTTTCTCCATGAATGGCATATACAGATTGGCAGCTTTAAAATATATCAAATCTGGAATCCTTGGGGGAAAAATGCTTTCAATGCATTTATCGTGCTTTCTGTTACGGATAATCTATCTGAAGAAGTACTAGAATGCCAGGAAGCTGTCAAAGGTTGGATAGATAGATGATAGGTAGGTAGGTAGGTAGGTAGGTAGGTAGGTAGGTAGGTAGGTGGATGATAAATATGGATGGATGGAAGGAAGGATGGATGGACGGATAGGTGGATGGGTGGGAAGGTAAGCTAGGTAGGTTGGATAGATAGATGATAAATGATAGAGAGAGAGAGGTAAGTAGGTAGGTAGGTTAGTTGGATAGATAGATAGATAGATAGATAGATAGATAGATAGATAGAT